ATATTTCACTGCCTACAATGTCTTTGTATTGTACATATTTTTTTTAAATTTTCTGTGTATTGTGATGTTTTGACATCTCAAAAAACCTTCCTAACTGGAGTGAGACTGCCTCTTCAGGGCTAGCCAGCTCTTAGAGGTAGCCCAGGACTCAGCCAGGAGCATGCTTCTGACATGCAAACTAACCAGTGAGAAGTCACACAATCTCTATGTGGCCATACACCCCTGGAGACAGTATTCCACTGCCTTAATCATCCCAGCGCCAGGCATCAGACAACTAGAGACCACCCTGATAGTCCAAAGCTCATCAAAATCATTCAGATTAGCCAATCATCAGCTGCTTAGCCTGCGCTGTCTTGCCTTTCCTATAGGAACCCCAATAAAGGTCATGGCCTCAGCGTTCCCCTCACTCCTGCTTTGCTTTCTGATAAAAGCCTGGCATTCCTCCTGGGGCCCTGCATGGTGAGCTGTGCCTCTTCTTTCTAAGGAGACTGTGAGGAACATTAAGGTTTTCTTTCAGTGGCATTGAGTAATACCACTCAATGGCAGTGACCTCTCCCTGTCATCACTCAGTCACCTTTATAAAGTAAGACTCAGGCACAAAACAGCCCTTCATTTCTTAGACCGTCGTAGTTCCCACCTTCACCCCAGTGTATGTGTATACAGACTAAAAGAATGCATTAAAGAGAAGGTAGTAACTGACATATAATCAAGGATAACTAAGCAATATCTGAAGATGGAAAAAATAAAAAATAAATAAAAATATATATGTATATATTTGGGACTTTATTGTAACCAAGTCTGATAGTAAGTCACAGCTAAATAAAGTCTTCCCGTTTTTATTCATTTATTCATTCAGTAAATATTTATTGAGCTCCAACTGTGCCAGGCAATATCCTTAACATTAGGGATACAGCAGTAACCATAATAAAAGGTTTAAGTTTTGTTCTTTGTATGAGGGCTTGCCTGTAGAGGACAGACTGCTATGTTAATTGTGTTTCGTAGACTATTGGAGCTGGAAGGACCCTAAAAGATTCACCTACTCAGTACCTACTCTCCCTTCCCTAAACCCTAGAATCTGAGAGCTGAAAAGACATATCTTTCCTATGTCACACAGCCAACCAGATAGAAAATGAAGTCAGGTACCCACATCCTATGTTTCCTGCCTCGCAAGAGTGTAAATCACCTGTACATGATGACGATGATGATACAAGTAGAGATGGGAGTGAGGATGAAACACACATACCTTGTCAAAGCAGACAAGGTTTAACTGTCCACATATGTTGATCCTCTGGGGGCTGATGCAAAAGATGCCTTTCTTCTTCAGCCTCCTCTGGGCATAGATAATGCCCGTGGTCAGCGCAGCCGGCAGAGCAGGAGGAACTGCGATGGTGATGACATCCAGGGCTTTCTTCACCACCTCCTCAGGAGGTTCCTAGAAGATACATTACTCTTTCACTATTGCAGATAAATCGGTCATGAACAGCTTGTGCCTATGACTTTTTCCTTCTTTTT